TAAATAAAATTATTTATTTCCTTATAACTAATGTGTAAACTAAATTTATATAAGGAGATTTTATAACAGTAGTTATTACAAATGCAGTAGAAATCTTTGCTAGAAAAACTAAATACAAATAATCTACTACTTAAATTAAGAATGGAAATACAGTCACTACTGCATAGGTTCTGATACTCTGTAAATTTAGAAATGCTAGCTCAAGAAATGTTACCAATAAAACACTGTGTATTATTGAGTGTATTATTAGTCTAGAAACTTTACTACGACCTTGAAATGTTTTGATTAATTTAATCAGTACAAAGAAGCTCTGGTGGTGCTGTAGGGTCAGCACTTGTCTGTTAACCTCAAGGTTAGTGGTTCAAACCCACCTACAGAACTGCAGGAGAAACACGAGGTTTACTGTTCCTATAAAGATTTATGTCCTCAGAAACCCTAGACAACTTTCCTATGAGTGAGATCAGTTCTATGGCATGAATTTTATGTTAATAATCTTCAAGAAAAATTACAATAATTTGTCTTATTAAACAACAGTATTATAATTCTGTCAAATAAAATGCCTCTGATTTTGCTATTTCAGAATAACAAATGCCACAGAATTTAACCTTGTATAAAAAATAATAACTTTAATTTTACTATCTCATTTTATTAACTGTTACTATAGTCCTGTACAGGGTCACTATGAATCGGAACCAACTCCATGGCACATAACTACCACCACCATAGTCCTTGTAGTTAGAAACAGGGGAATTTAAACTTTGTAATTTTAGAAAACAGACTTTTGATTGGTCATTAAAGGCCAGAACACATCCCTGATTTAGGAGCACAAGTTTTAAAGTGCTAACTGTGGATGGATGTATTGGCTCCATCATTTGACTATCTGTGAAACCTAGACTAAGTTTGGTAATATTTTCCTCTAAGCTTCTCCTCACAAAATTGAGTTAACAGTAGTTGTTCTAAGAATAATAGAACTTAAATGAGACCATATGCTTAGGAATATTGTCATTACATCACTGGAATTATTATTATTTCATCATATTTTAACCAGCCAATGAGCATGAAAACATGTCAGAGAATGTGAGGGAGCTTCAAAAAGTTTCTGGAAAGTTCCATTATCATTTAATTCCACGTTTTGAAGTCCCATCATACATCTGACATCCATTTTACTTACTGGTAGTAGCACCTCCTCGAACAGTTGTGGAGCCAGGGATACCTCCTGTGGGACCTGAATCTAAAAATAGAAAGTAATGAGTAGTGCTTTGATTTTAATCTGAACATTTATCAGCATACCTACTTTTAATTCACGTGGTATGGTATCAATACCTGATGTGACAGCTGGACTTTCTTCATTAGTTTCTCTCGAAGTTCCAACAGATACCCCAGGTGTACCTGAATTTAAAGGAAACGAATGAACAAGAATTGTAATAATATAGTAGGTAATCTTACTTGGACTTCCCACTGATGTCTCAAATTTAATTTACTTAACCCAAATTCATGATCTTTCCACCATAATGCTATTCTTTAAGCATTTCCTGTTTCAATAAGTGCTATGATTATCCCTTACTTTGTATCTGACAGAAGCTAGCAAATTACTTTTTACCAAGTCCTCCATCCCAGCCATTGTCAACTTCCCCTGATGCCACCTCCAAAATGCATTTTGTCATTCAGCTTACAAATTATTTCAAAGCATACAAATTAAATTGATGGAGTAATGTTTGCAAATGTAGTACTTAAGTGATTCCTAGGTACCAACAATGTCTTCTTAGAAACTGTAGGCTGATTTTTTATTTCCTTTCTGCCCTAGTTTTCCTACTGCCATGGGATGGAGGACAATGTAATGGGTACCAGACCATTCAGGTTTAAGTCCAGACTTGCACCTCCTAAACAAATTGTCCCTCAGCTTCCTTGTCTGAAAATACAGATAGAAACAGCCCTATCTCACTGGTTGCTGTGAAACTCAATTACATCTTTTATAACTGAAAAGTTCTTGGATCATAGGAAGGTCTCATTATGGGGTTTCTTTTCTCTCTTTCTTTCCCCTCTTTGTTTCAGACTTCTTTGTCTAGGTTTGTCTCCTGAAGTAGTCAGCACTGTGAAGACAATTTCCTATTCTTTTATTATTGTCCTAAAGTACCAAATACAAGCTTGTAAATATGAGATGGGTTGAATCTGATTTTCTCATATTTCCTTTATCATAATTACTTAGAATGCCTTACTTACAATTAGCGTTATTAGTTTTCTCAGAAAACATATGGTGAGTCACAATGTTGTCCTTTCCACTCACCAGATTTTGCAAATGTGGTTAACCCAGCACCTGGTGCTATAGTTGTACCTTCACCTGATTTAGTGGTTCCTCCATATGGTTCTTCAGCTGTGCCTGGTTAAAAGGGGTTATTAACCATTACCTTTACTTGGTTTATTTTACTAAAAGTTAAAAAGTTAACTTACTGCCATTTAAGTAAATTTCAAAACTAGACGTCAATATATCTAGAGCATCCCTTTATCATGTCTCCTTAAGTTAGACTGTTGTTCCAACTTAAACTCATTATCATAAGCCATACTTGTGTTGAACCCCTTACCAGATCACCCAGATGAGTCTCACCTGCTTGGTCCCCAGCAGTGGTGGTCCTAGAACCTGCTATTCCAGTGCTTTCCCTGCCTGCTCCTGTGATAGCTGACCCTCCAGTGGCACCTGATAGTGGGGGATGAAAAATCAATGATGAAAAACTAACTATTCAAGTAGTTTGGAGACACTAATTCAAAACAATAATGTTCTAAAAAAAAAAAAAAAGGCCCATCATTCACAAATTCGAGTCTTTAAATGCCTATTTAAATTAGGCAAGTTTATACACATGCAACAAAAGTAGGAATTGGAAGGAACATTGAATTTTCCACACTAAATGGATAATCAAGAGGATGCTTGATTTGTCTCTGTCAAAATGAATGTTGGGAAGTTGTTATGGTCAGATTGATGCCATTTAAGACAATAATTCCCTTTGATAATATTTCCTAGTATTTAGGTCTATGGCTAAATATGTAAGAATCCAGAGTCCTTGTTAATTTAAGCCCTGCCAAAATCTTAGGGTACCACTAGCTGACCTGCACTCTCTCCAGTAGTGGCGACATCGGCGTCTAATAGACCAGTTGTGCTTCCCCTGCCAACTTCCATAGTGCTTCTTCGTGACCTGCCAGTTGTGTCTGACAGGCAAACAAGCAGTCATGATGACATACTTGGGCAGTAATTCTTATGGAGAGTCAATCCAAAGAATTAATCTTCTAGGAGTTACAGTCATTCATTCAGGAATACATTTAATAGGTCCTTTTAAGAGGTTCAATTCTGATACAGACATGGTGATGGTAACAAGCATGCATAGAGAATGGGCAATCTATTCTCCCATGATTTAGCTGTTTTACAGTAGTAGTTCTATGGAAGGAAACCTGACTTGAATTCAGGTGGTATAACCTCACTACCCGAGGCTCCAGGATTCTTCTAGGCCTTATAGTTGGTCCAGTCCATGGGCCAATTTTTGTTTTGACCAAAAAGAAGTAACAGAATACATTGACTGCACTTTTATCATGGTTCCAGCTTGAAGATCAGAGAATCACAGTACTTTTTAATCTCAGACGTTCAAAGCCTCATTCCTTCAGCTAGTATATAATAATGGCCTCTCTTAAGTGATCTATTTCTCTCCCTTCTATGCCCCCTACTGGATAAATATATTCTGCACAATTCTACCCAAAGATTCCAGATCTTTCTGATTAACAAAGTTTATGGGCTTCCTTGCTTTTTGAGTGAAGTCTTAACTCCCAAACCTGACTTTTCAGATCCCTTCAGTGGGAATCAAATTTTGCCTTTTGTGCCCACTCTCCGTGCTCCCAGCACTTATATCTGGTGTTACTTCCTAATTCAAGGAGCTCTGGTAGCGTAGTGGTTACGAATCAGGCTACGAACCGTAAGGCCAGCAGTTCGAAACTACCAGCCGCTCCACGGGAGAATGATGAGGCATTCTGCCCCCATAAAGATTCACAGCCTCGGAAACCCTGTACAGGGTCGCTATGGATCGGAACTGACTCAACAGCACTTAACAACAACAACAACAACTTCCTGATTCAGGTGTTATGTCAGGTGACACCCCAGTTTTGTCTTATTTATATCAATGAGAGAAAAAGGTAAATAATAAGTATTCTGTTGAGGGATCCTAGATGCTGAGCCCTCATTCCCTAGGCTAGTGGTAGCAGACCCTGCAAAGACTCCTGAGGGTCCTGAAAGAAAGAATATCAATGAATGTTAAACCTGCAACTACTATTCTGATAGAAGTCGACAATTTCCAATAAACAGTAAAAGACATTACCCCTCCAACTTGCCTCAGCCCTGTTTTTTGGTACTAGTTAGAGCATGATTTCACAGATCATTGTCTGCTGGGGAGGGACTGGATGGGAACTGCTGAGGCATCATTAGCAGCCTGGCCTCTCTTACCAGACCCTGGGGTTCCAGAGCCTGCTTCTCCAGGGCTGCTGCTCCTTCCGACTCCAGAGGTTGTTCCAGGTGGTACCCCAGGTGTGCCTGATTTTTTAATCATATGAAAAGAAAATCAGTTTAAGAAAAAGTGAGATCCTCTTACGAGGTGGTAGGGGTGGTTGTATGCCATCTAGTCAGTTCTGATGCATAGCAACCCTATATAAGGTTCCCAAGGCTGTCAATCTTGACTGGAACAGAAAGACTCATCTTTCTCTTGCCTCTTGACAGCGACCTTAAATATGCTTGCTTTTCCCTTAAAAACAATGTATCCCATAAATTTCATGGGTGCTTTAAATTCCTTGTTGTTAAGTGCCAATGAGCAGACTCAGAGACCATGTATAGGGTTTCTCAGTAGCAGCTAGTGAGTTTTAACTGCCAACTTTGTGGATCAAACCAGCCTTGTAATTGAGTACTTATCCTATGCAAGGTAAATCAAATAGATAAGCCTGATAATATAATGGCTACTTTAAGGAACTCAGTATTATGAAATATAGTGATCACGTATGTCATTCAGTGTTCAACATCGGAATTCTTACTAGATGCCTTATGCTTCATCATATACCTTATTCCCATGTGATTAACTCCTGTGTTGTTTAAACGTTGTCATCTCATCTCTAAAAGACTAATTAATCACTCTCTCCAAGAGAAAGTAGAATTAGAGCAGGTATATTGACCTAATGTTTTTCCTATATTTTTCAGAGCACCTAACTGTATTAATCACACAACAAATGTTTGCTATAGGTTTCTGATTTTTTTTAACTAAGCATTACATGGGCTCCTGGTATGGGGCTATAGGATGAGTACTGGACTAATAACCAAAAAGTCAGTGGTTCAAACCCACCAGCTGCTCCTTGGAAACTTTATACAAGGATGCTGTGAGTCAGAACCGTCTCGACGGCATTTAAACAAAAGCAAGAGTTACAAAATTGGATTGATTAAATTCCCCAGGAAACATAATCCCTGTCTAAACTTTGAGCAAAAGGCTCACGTGTACCAACAGGATTTCCTATTGGTTCCGTCCGTTTGTTACCTGATGTGTTTTCACCACCAGCTCCCGTGGTGGCTGCATCTGTTGTTCCTGTACCTAATTGAGAAGAGCAGTGTTTTGTTTTGTTTTGAATTTAGATGCAAAGAAAGCACTCATACTTTCACAGCTTTATTCATGTCATTAGCTTCAAAAATGCTGTCCTTAGTCCCTTAATTTCATTATAAAAATCAGTGGTTTTGGCTAAACTTGTGTTTGGCCCCCCAGCTGTGGTTTTGTTTACCTGCTGGGTTTCCAGCACTGGGGGTCCTACTGCCTGATGCTCCAGCTGTGTTTCTTGTGCCTATTCCTGTGGTCACTCCCAGAGACTCTCCTGTTGTTCCTGGTAAGCATAGTAACAATGGGCTCAATTGATAGTGTTTTGATAATTGTGTGGCACTATGGGTTAATGCACTGGACTGCAAAGTTGGTTTGAACTGCACTGGTGGTTCAAGCTTACCAGCTGCTCCTCAGAAACACTATACAGGGTCAATAGGGATCGGAACTGATTCGACAGCATTTGATAACAACAGCAAACTTATTAAAAACACACTGATGAAAAGAAACAGAATTCTGACCCATAGTTATTAATGACCACATAAGCAACTGCCTGGGAGTGCTGTCTACACCTCACCTGATGCTGTCACTTCACTGCTTTGTGATCCAGTTGTTCCACTTGGTCCTTTAGGTGTACCAGCTGATGGCCTGGGAGTACCAGATGACGCTCCAGGAGTCCCAGCTGCTGGTCCCATTGTCCCTGTCAAAATGAAGGAAAATGATAATATCATGATCGTTTGTTATAATCAGAGGAATATGTGACTTTATATCTCCAAATACTTAGTCACACCTCTCCATTCTTGTGCCATTGCTCCAATTTTGTTCTTACAAATTTAATGATAAAAATAATCACCTAGTACGTTTGTTAAATAGAGACATGTTTCTACCTGCTCCTGATGCCCACCAAGATTCAAATAATCTGAATTGACAGGAGTGGAGCCTTGGAGTATTAGCATCTAATAAACACATCTAGGAATATAACCAACAGATGGTTATAATGACAGGAAATCTAGGTCATACCTCTACTCTACATTTGAAATAGCTTTACATTGGGCTCCCTATCTCCAGTCTACTTTTATTTCATTCCATTCTATCTGACTGAGTGGCCTGTAAACTTTCCATTTTATTCTTGAACAAGCTCTATATGTTTTCCCCTTTATCTACCTGTCTGGCTTCTGGTGGTTGTGGTCCGTGTTGGTGAGACTCCATTTATGCCCTCACTCCCCCCACCTACAGGGATTCCTGAGGTTCCTGAAACCCATGAAATTATAAGTAAGGCGGCTTAATTTTATTAGAATAAAAGTGTTAGCTTACTAAATTATTACTTTATCACCTTGTGAGTTTCTCATGAAATACATGTCTGATATGTCTTTATTCCCCTGAAAACGAATATATCCTTAAAATTTTATTCAGTTTACTAGTGTTTTAAAATTTTGGTCAGAGATTAGGAATACAGATTTACCAGAATTAGCAAATAAAAATATAGCTTATAAAGCCCTGATTACAACATCCCATCATTTAAAACAAAATAATTTTGCTGTTTTTAATCCCCAACTAATCAATTCTCTTCTTACTAGAATGGTCTCTAGAGTGCCTACTCCAACACTTGTCTATTAACATTACCTTAAACTTTAATTATCTTCTGCCCTGTTTTCTTTTTTTTTTTTTGCTTTTGGCAGGTGTATACATATTAATTCCTCATTAAATATATAAGTCACTGGTGCCTTACTCTTTTCCTTTTATGTCCTCAAGAGTACACAGCACAACGTTATACAGATAATAAATTTTCTAGATTTATTTCTGATCTACAGATGTTTGGACATCACACAAATTACAATTATGTTCCCCAGGAAACCTAATATTTGACAACATTTGAAGAAACCACATTTCTTTGGTTGGATTTAGTGCTAGGTTTGCTTGTTCAGTACCTGATGCTCCAGAACTGCTTATACCAGCTGCCCCAGTGGTAGCTCCAATTTCCTCTCCAGTTGTTCCTAATTAAAGAAACAAGGATGTTCAGCTTTACATTAAGATTTGCCTGATGTAGCAAATAAAAATCCCACGTCTACTAGAACTACATTATACTTGTGATGAAATCAATTTTGGAGTATCTGAACATTTAACCAGGTCATCAGAAGTTCACAACACAGATGCAATATTTAAAAGATTGAAACTAAGCTTCTCCACAGGAGTCCTGGTGTGGCGGTGCAGGTTGGTTTGAACAGCAAGGTCAGCAATTCAAGCTCACCAGCTGCTCCTTGGAAACTGACTCGACAGCATTAACAAAAACAACAAGCTTCTCCAAAGATTCAGCTGTGACTACTTCACTAAAGCAAGGAATCTCACTTACCTGCTTCATTTCGAGAGACTGTGGTCCTAGATAGTCCAGGAGAGCTTTCACCTGCACTTGTTATCCCAGCTGATGTGCCAACCGTGCCTAATGGCAAGGAGAAAGAGGACAATTATTCACAGAAACACTCTTTAACTCTGGGATCAATTGGTTTCTAAACTAAGTATATGAAACATGCTGCACCATTATCAGTCTATAGACATACCACCCTGAATGCGCCCGATCTTGTTTGAACTTGAACTAAGCAGGGGCAGGCCTGGTTAGTACTTGGATGGGAGATCACCTGGGAATACCGGGTGCTGTAGGCTTTTGGGGCTCCTGGTATGGTGCTGTAGGATCAGCACTAAACGTGAACCACAAGGTCAGCAGTTCAAACCCACCAGCTGATCCTCAGAAACCCTATACAGGGTTGCTATGAGTCAAGAACGAACTTGACGGCTTTTAACAACAACACACCTTTATCAATTCAATGATTAATTTCTAGTATCTGAAGTTGCTAAATCATAGTTCAGTATGATAGCTTAGATAAAAATGAGAGCTATAATGTTAGAGTACACAGGTTGGGGTCCCTGCTCCATTAAAATTTATTAGCTAAAGGACCTCAGGCAAATCACTTTACTACTGTGGTCTCAACGTCTTCATCTGTAATGTGAGGCCCACTGCCTAGAGCTGTTGAGGAGACAAAATGAGTTGATGAGATTCTCAGGATAATGTCTGGCACATAAATGCCAAGTAAATGTTAGCTAGCTATAGAAGTGTTTGAGGCTATTTTAGTAAGAATGATGAGGTTCTTGCACAAGGCACTGAATTCTCATCTTCCTTACCTGTTTGACTGCCAGAGGTTGTGGCTGTGGTAGCTGCAATTCCTTGTGTGTTCTTACTCTCAGGGATGGTGGTGGAACCAGAAGAAGCATCAGGGGTTCCTGAAACCAACAGAGGAGCATGGTAATCACTCCCAATTACTCAACTCTAGACCGTAGAAGAATTGATGCCTTTGAGTTATGGTGTTGGAGGAGAATATTGAAAGTGCCATGGACTACCAAAAGAACCAATAGATCTGTGTTGGAAGAAGCACAGCCAGAGTGCTCCTTGGAGGCCAGGATGGCCAAACTTCGTCTCTCACACTTTGGACATATTGTCAGGAAGGACCAGTTGCTGGAGAAGGAGATCATGTTTGTAAGATGGAGGGTCACAAAAAAAGAGGAAGACCCCCAGTGAGATGAATTGGCAAAGTGGCAGCATCAATGGGCTCAAGCATGGCAACAATTGTGAGGTTGGCCCAGGATGGGGCAGAGTTTCTTTCTCTTGTGCTTAAGGTCGCTATGAGTCGGTACCGACTCGATGGCACCTAACAACAATAACAACATTCTTAAGGAGCTGGATGGTAGTTCAAGCTCACCAGCCACTCCTCAGAAACCCTATACAGGGTTGCTATGATTTGGCACCAATTCAATGGCACTTAACAACAACAAATCTTAACAGCACTGACTCCACACCACATAACCACCACCACTACCTCCATTCTTATCTTATTAAACGAAGATGAGGCTATGGATAAACTGGGCCCCTGAGACACTGAATATGACTTCCCTTACCCCTACAGTGAACTATAATTGGACCCTTACTCCAGTTCACAGCCTGTTGAGGAAAGCCTGGTGGGGAACTGGGGAGACATTCCTTCCAGACTTGCCTGACTTCCCAGGGCTCGTGGTTCCAGGGTCTGCTTCCCCAGTGCTGCGGCCATCTCCAGCTCCAGAGCTTGTTCCAGGTGATTCCCCACGTGTGGCTTAATTTTATAATACAAGAAAAACATCAGCTATTTATAATGTGATCTCTTAAAGAAGAACTCCTGAAATGTGTGTGTTTACTCCCCTGAATAAATGAAAATATCCCTAACATTTCACAGTTTCCTGGTGATGTATATTTTTTACCTAAGAAAAGGGATATAGAATCGCCAGCTTTAGAAAATGAATATATCATGATTATAGTATCATATCATTTAAAAGTTAAATTTTTGTCATTTTTAAATCCCCAAGAATCAGTTGTCTTACTAGAATTGCTTCTGGAGGTCCTACTCCAATGCTTGTCTCTGAAGATAACCTCGACTTTGATTACCTTTTGCCTTGTGTCCCCCCTCTCCCCCGCCCCCCACACACACTTTGGAATGTAGATAACTTTTAATTTCTCTCCATAAAAATTAAAATTCACCCAAGTTTTACTCTTGTTCTCTCATGCTGTCTAGATTACCCAGCACAATATTATACTTATAATAAATATCCCTTCATTTATTTCTGACCTTCAGCTATTTTAACAATACAAGTAATAATTATAAAATTGCTTAGGAAACCTCATCTCTGACAAAATTTGAAGACAAGTAATCCCAGTTCTATCATTGTATCTGGAGCTGGGTTTGCTTGCTCAGTACCTGGTACTCCAGAGGTATCTTCACCAGTTGCCCCAGTGGTAACTCCATTTCGCCCTCCAGTTATTCCTAATTGAAAAGAACATGTCTGCTCAACCTACATTGGGATTGGCCAGATGCAGCAAATAAAATGCAGAATCCCCAGTTAAAGGGGAACTCTATATAAGCAATGAACAACTGTTTCCTACGAAACAGTACTACATGAAACATTCTTATAAAAAAAAATACTTTTTGTTTCTAGGAAATTCAAATTTAACTCACATCTTGTATTTTATCTGGAAATTCTAGTCTTTGTAGTAGTTATGAGTCGGGCTGCTAACCTCAAGGCCAGCAGTTTGAAACTACCAGCCATTCCAAGGAAGAAAGATGAAGCTTTCTGCTCCTGTAAAGATTTAGAAAACCCTGTGCAGGGTCACTATGAGTCTGAACCAACTCCACAACACACCACCACCACCACCACTATAGATGTTGTTGTTGTTGTTGTTGTTAAGTGCCATCAAGTCAGTTCCAATTCATAGCGACCCTCTATAGGGTTTCTGAGGAGCAGCTGATGAGCTTGAACCACTGACACTGCGGTTCAAACTGACTTTGCAATCTAGCGCATTAACCCACAGAGCCACACCAAGACTCCTAGTTTGGATAAAATGATCTTTAGAGACATTTTCGAGTGTTTTTGTGGGGTTGGGAATGCAATAGGACTTAAGTTATCCATGATCATTTGTTCTCAAATTAAAACCATTTCCAGTTGTCATTATGTTGACGATTACTCATGGTGACCCATGTGTATCAAAGTAGAACTCTGCTCCATAGCATTTTCAAAGTCTGAATTTTTCTGAAGTAGCTCACCAGGACTTTCTTCTGAGGTACCTCTTAGAGGACTCCAACCAGCAACCTTTTGGATAGCTGCCAAAGTCTTTAGCCCTTTGCACCATCCAGGGACTTTATTAAAATCATAAAACAACCAAACTCCTTGCTCTTGAAGTGACTGTGACCAGTCGTGGCCCAGACACTAGGATCACTATGAGCTGGAACTGACTCAACAGCACTTAACAACAACAATCTCTCAGAAGCCAAATGATATATTTTTCTCATAGAATAAATAGTTGGCAGGTTTAAACTGCAGACCTTTTGCTGAGTAGCCGAGTGCTTAATCACTGCATGATCAGGGTCCTTATTAAAGCCATTTGTTGCTGTGTACAATGGAGTTGGTTCCTAATTATAGGGTTTCTGAGATCAGCTGGTGGGTTTGAACTGCTGCTCTTCGGGTTAGCAAGCCCAATAACTAGCCTCAGTTAAATCCACTTAAACTCCTCATAAGAATGTGAGGCCTCAGCTGAGTGTGTGATCCTCCCCCACCAGAGCACCCAGGCACCCTGAGCCTTGCCTGCTGGATTCCCAGCTGTGCTGGAGCCAGTGAATGACGGCCAGTCCCAGGGGTCGTTTCAACAGACTCTCTGGTCACATCTGATAATCACAATGTTGGAAGAGCACATACTTATTGTGACGGCACAGCAGTGCTTTGGGGGAGTCTCTGGTAGTGTAGTGGTTATGAATCAGGCTGCAAGCCACAAGGTCAGCAGTTCGAAACTACCAGCCGTTCCGCGGGAGAAAGATGAGGCGGTCTGCTCCCATAAAGATTTACAGCCTCGGAAACCCTGTGTGGGGTTGCTATGAGTCGGAACCGACTTCACAGCACATAACAACAACAACAACAACATAGAAAGTGGTGGTGGCGGTGCTTATGTACTATGGAGTAGGTTTCAACTTGTAGAAATATAAAACTCCACTTGAGATGTCAATCATTTATTTACGGTTCTACATTATTTGTTGGATGGTATTTGGTTGATGACTGATGCCCTATATTCACCTGATGTCCCTTCAGATGGTGTCACTTCCCTGTCTGGAGTTGTTTCACCACCTGATGATCCAGTAACCCCTTTTAGAACAAACAAAAACTATATATCATCTTACATTAGCAAAACACAGCATGCTATTCTTCAGTTTCCAAATATTTTGCATGTGCATTTTCACAAGTCATTAAAAATGTAATCAAGAGGATCTCGGTCTTTCTTGCCACATATTCAGATATCCTAATGTCTTGGTTCTCTACACAGACTACACATTGAAATTAACTGTGAGGTTTAAAAAATATATACCTATAACGGGGCCCCTTTTCTTGGGATTCAGGTTCAATTACGCCATCATAAGCTCTTTAGTTGTTGTTGTTGTTATGTGCCATGGAGTCAGTTCCGACTCATAGCGACCCTGTATAGGGTTTCTGAGGCTGTAAATCTTTACTGGGAGCAGAAAGCCTCATCTTTCTCCCATGGAACAGCTGGTAGTTTTGAACTGCTGACCTGAAGGTTCACAGCCTGATTCGCAACCACTACACTACCAGAGCACCTTAAGCTCTTTTGCATTAGTGTCAAAAACTTATCTAATTGACTTGAATTTGTAGCCAGGATTTGAATTGTTAGCTATGTTATTAGTGGTGGTGTTAAATGCCGTTTGGTCCATTCCAACTCATAGCAACCCTGCACAGAGTTTCCAAGGAGTGGCTGGTTGGTTTGAATCAACAGCCTTTCGATAACAGTCCGGTGCCTATCCTACAGTGTTACACCAGAATTCCCATGCCACAATCACTGTCTCAGAAGTTTTAGGACAGGAACAATACTTAAATTACTAGGAACCTGGGAATGTGTATGCTCCATCAGGACACCCAGGAGTTCTACTGATTGTACATGACTAAGGAAATAACTATTTATTGCTACATGTAATACTTCTGGTCAGTGCGTGGGCTCCCTAACGCTGAGCTCTTTTTATTCTGTTCCATTCTGTATGATACTGACCAATTTAAACAATGAACATTCCATTTTACACCTGCAAAATTACTAATTTGCTATTAGAGGTTGTGGCCAGCCAGGGTTGTTGCTGTTGTTAAGTACCATGGAGTCAGTTCCGACTCATAGTGACCCTGCACAGGGTTTCTGAGACTGTAAATCTTTACGGGAACAGAATGTCTCATCTTTCTCCCAAGGAACCACTGGTAATTTCGAACTGCTGATCTTGTGGTAGGCAGCCCAACTCATAACCTCTATGCTACCAGAGCTCCTGGCCATCCAGGGTAGCTGAGGCTTTATTAGAGCCTTCACTCCCAGGACTGGTGGTGGTGTAGGCACAAGAGATGACCCTGAATGCTGAAACCAAAGACCAGGGTAGATGTTAAACCTGCAGCTACTATTCTATTAAGAGAAGTTGGGAATTTCCAGATAAATGGAAGTGAAAGACACTACCCCCTCCAACTTGCCTCAGCCCTGTTTTCTGGTACTAGTTAGAGCATGATTTTACAGATCATTGTCTGCAGGGGAAGGACTGGATGGCAACTGCTGAGGCATCATGAGCAGCCTGGCATCTCTTACCAGACCCTGGGCTTCCAGAGCTTGCTTCTCCAGGGCTGCTGCTCCTTCCGACTCCAGAGGTTGTTCCAGGTGGTACCGCAGGTGTGCCTGATTTTTTATCATATGAAAAAATGTCAGTTTTATGAAAATGACCTCAAATAGGCTTGATTTTTTTTTTTATTCCTACGGAAAGTAAATCAGATTGATAAGTCTGATGATGGTACAATTGTAAGGTGTTGATGTGAAATACAGTAATCATGCAGCTCATTTGTGTGTTCAACATTGAATTATTTTGTCTCTTCTAACTTCTGGTAGCGTAGTGGTTACGAATCGGGCTGCGAACCATAAGGTCAGCAGTTCGAAACTACCAGCTGCTCCGCGGGAGAAAGATGAGGCTTTCTACTCCCGTAAGGATTTACACCCTCGGAAACCCTGTACAGGGTCGCTATGGGTCGGAACCGACTCGAAGGCACTTAACAACAACAACAACTTTATGTCACAGCACAGACCTTTTTCCCACTTGATTAACTCCTATCTTGCACACATTTTGTCTTTCCAAGATAAAGCAGAATGAGAGCTGAGATACTGACCTACTAAGTTTTCTATGTTCAGAATACCTAACACAGTACTAGGTTCACAGAAAATATTTGTTGGTGTATTGCCAGTCTTGATGGCACTGGACATGACACAAATAACAATACTTAAATTACTAGGAAAACCTATTGTTGCTGTTGTTGTTTCTATGTACTTTCCAGTTGGTTCCTACTCATAGTGACCCTGTATAGGGTTTCCTAGGAGCGATAGTGGTTTTGAGCCGCTAACCTTGCAAACTGACCTTTTGGTCCAGCACATTATCCTGCAGCACCACACTGGTACCCCTAGAAAACCTTCTCCTTGACTAAATTTTGACTGGATTTCATATTAGTTCTGCTCCTTTATTACCTGATACTCCAGATGTATTTTCACCAGTAGCTTCAGTGGTGGCTACATCAGTTGCTCCTGTACCTAATTGAGAAGAACAGTGGTATTTAATTTAAACACACAGAAGCAATCACTCTTGAATACTTTCCCAGCTTCATTCGTGTCATTAGCTTCTCAAATGCTGTTCTTTGTCACCTTTACATAATCTCATTATAAAAATCTGTGATTTTGGCTAAACTTATGTTTGGCCCTTCACAGCCCCTCAGCTGAAATGTTTCCAGCATTGATGGCCCCAGTGCCGGATGATTCAATTGTGCTTCCTTTGTCTGCTACTGTGGTCACTCCCAGAGACCCTCCTGTTGCCCCTGATAAACATAGTAACAATGGGCTCAAACAACAGTGCATCTGAAGGAGATTCAGGAATTCAAGTAAAAACTTCAATCCTTTTGAAAATGTTTGTCTTTTATCCATCATCTACATATTTTAACAGTTGACTTTTGTTAAAAACTGGAAATGATTCAGAACTTTAACTTGTAATTATTATTGACCATGGAAGCAATGGCTTTGGAGTGCTGTACTAAACTCACCTGACTTGCCTTCAGATGGTGTCACTTCGCTGCTTGGTGCTCCAGTTATTCCATTTGGCCCTTTAGGTGTACCAGCGGATGGTCCCAGTATACCCTCTGATGATCCAGATGTACCTCCTGATGGTCCCTGTGTACCACCTGATGGTTGTGGTGTACTAGCTGAGGGTACACGTGTACTAGCTGATGGTCTTGGTGTGCCAGCTGATGGTCCTGATGTATGAGCCGATGATCCAGGCGTACTAGCTGATGATCTAGGTATACCAGGTGATGGTCCCTGTGTACCCTGTGATGGTCCCTGTGTACCAGCTGATGATCCAGGTGTAACAAGTGATGGTCCCTCTGTGCGCCTTGAAGGTTCCTGTGTATCCTCTGATGGTCCCTTTGTACCAGCTGATGGTCCACGTGTACCATAAGATAAACCATGTGTACTAGCTGATGGTCCCTGTGTACCAGCTGATGGTCCCTGTGTACCAACTGATGGTCCCTGTGTACCTTCTGATGGTCCCTGTGTACCAACTGATGGTCCCTCTGTTCCAGCTGATGGTCCCTCTGTATCAGCTGATGGTCCACGTGTACCCTCTGATGGTCCCTGTGTGCCAGCTGATGGTCCCTTTGTACCCTCTGAAGGTCCCTTAGTATCAGCTGATGGTCCATGTGTACCCTCTGATGGTCCCTGTGTGCCAGCTGATGGTCCCTTTGTACCCTCTGAATGTCCCTTTGTACTAGCTGATGGTCCACGTGTACCAGCTGATGGTCCCTGTGTACCATCTGATGGTCCCATTGTACTAGCTGATGGTCCCTGTGTACCTGCTGATGGTCCCTTTGTACTAGCTGATGGTCCACCACGTGTACCAGCTGATGGTCCCATTGTACTAGCTAATGGTCCCTTTGTACCAGCTGATGGTCCCATTGTACTAGCTGATGGTCCCTTTGTACCAGCTGATGGTCCCTGTGTGCCAGCTGATGGTTCCTTTGTACCCTCTGATGGTCCCTTTGTACTAGCTGATGGTCCACGTGTACCAGCTGATGGTCTCTGTGTGCCAACTGATGGTCCCGGTGTACCAGCTGATGGTCCCTTTGTACCCTCTGATGGTCCGTTAGTACTAGCTGATGGTCCATGTGTACCAGTTGATGGTCCCTGTGTACCACCTGATGGTCCCTGTGTGCCAGCTGATGGTCCCTTTGTACTAGCTGATGGTCCATTTGTACCAGCTGACGGTCCTTGTGTACCAACTGATGGCCACTCTGTTCCAGCTGATGGCCCCTGTGTACCAACCGATGGTCCCTGTGTGCCAGCTGATGGTCCCTTTGTACCAGCTGATGGTACAAGTGTACCAACTGATGGCCACTCTGTTCCAGCTGATGGTCCCTGAGTACCAACTGATGGTCCCTGTGTACCAGCTGATGGTCCCTTTGTACCAGCTGATGGTCCAAGTGTACTCTCTGATGGTCCCTGTGTACCAACTGATGGTCCCTGTGTGCCAGCTGATGGTCCCTGTGTGCCAGCTGAAGGTCTCTTTGTACCCTCTGATGGTCCCTTTGTACTAGCTGATGGTCCACGTGTACCAGCTGATGGTCCCTGTGTACCCTCTGATGGTCCCATTGTACTAGCTGATGGTCCCTTTGTACTAGCTGATTGTCCCTTTGTACCAGCTGATGGTCCCTGTGTTCCAGCTGATGGCCCCTTTGTACCAGCTGATGGTCCACGTGTACCAGCTGATGGTCCCTGTGTACCCTCTGATGGTCCCTTTGTACCAGCTGATGGTCCCTGTGTTCCAGCTGATGGTCCCTTTGTACCCTCTGAAGGTCCCGTTGTACTAGCTGATGGTCCATTTGTACCAACTGATGGTCCCTGTGTGCCAGGTGATGGTCCCTTTGTACTAGCTGATGGTCCAAGTGTACCCTCTGATGGTCCCTGTGTACCAACTGATGTTCCCTGTGTGCCTGCTGATGGTCCCTGTGTGCCAGCTGATGGTCCCTGTGTGCCAGCTGATGGTCCCTGTGTACCAGCTGATTGTCCCTTTGTACCTTCTGATGGTCCTTTTGTACTGGCTGATGGTCCACGTGTACCAGTTGATGGTTCCTGTGCACCCTCTGATGGTCCCTGTGTACCCTCTGATGGTCCCTGTGTGGCAGCTGATGGTCCCTTTGTGGTAGCTGATGGTCCACGTGTACTCTCTGATGGTCTCTGTGTACCAACAGATGGTCCCTGTGTGCCAGCTGATGGTTCATTTGTACCCTCTGATGGTCCCATTGTACTAGCTGATGGTCCCTGTGTGGCAGCTGATGGTCCCTTTGTACCAGCTGATGGTCCACGTGTACTCTCTGATGGTCTCTGTGTACTAACAGATGGTCCCTGTGTGCCAGCTGATGGTTCGTTTGTACCCTCTGATGGTCCCATTGTACTAGCTGATGGTCCCTGTGTACTAGCTGATGGTCCTTGTGTGCCAGCTGATGGTCCCTGTGTACTGTCTGATGGTCCCTTTGTACTAGCTGATGGTCCCGTTGTACCAGCTGGTGGGCCCTGTGTACCATCTGAAGGTCTCTGTGTGCCCTCTGATGGTTCCTTTGTACCAACCGATGGCCCCTTTGTACCGTCTGATGGTTCCTTTGTACTAGCTGATGGTCCACGTGTACTAGCTGATAGTTCCTGTGTACCCTCTGAAGGTCTCTCTGTACCAATTGATGGTCCGTGTGTGCCAGCTGATGGTCCCTGTGTACCCTCTGATGGTCCTTTCGTACTTGCTGATGGTCCACGTGTACCAACTGATGGTCTCTGTGTACCCTCTGATGGTCCCTGTGTGCCAGCTGATGGTTCCTTTGTAC